CCTAAGCTACGACCCTTCCAAATTTCAAGTGCCTACGTTTAGCCGTTTAGGCTTTGCGTTGATCTGTCAGTCAGTCAGTCAGTTTCTCCTTTTATATATTTAGATTGGACGTCTGGTTTGTCAGCTAGTGTTTTAGAATCGGTATTTTTAGAACTCATAAAAATTATCCGATTATAGACCGTTTTTTCCTATAATAGTTGCACATAGAAATTTGGCATTACGTTAAAAATACTCCAATTAATAAAGGTGGCTTAATTTACCGGTGCATTTACCTACCAGATATATAGGGTGTTGATTTCAATCCTCGCCATGTTTGTTTAGGTGATCTATATTATGACTTTTATAAAAAAAACACAAAAAAACGAAAGTTTTCCGTGCGACATCAATGGTACTGACGCTCGCAATACTGCAATACGTTTACACTGCGGCACCATCACAGAATAAGTACCACCATGGCACCATCGAGCTACGCGGATTGCTTGCTTAACATGTCGGGTAGCCACGTAAAGTAGATAGTGTAAATAGGTATTTTTCTTTGACTAACTAAAGTTAAAGTTCGTTTTAAATTTTTTTCGAAGTCATTTTTTTACTTGTTCTTGATCAGATTTTTTAAGCTACTTAATCAACTCCCTAAATATGGCGAGGATTGAAATCAACACCCTGTATGTATTTATCTGAGACTTAAGATCTTTTAAAAGTAAAGGCAAAAATCCTCCGGCTGAAAATGATGATGATAAGACTTAAGAAACCAAATGTTGTTTGTACTTAACTTATCGAGTTATATTCAATTTTACATTAAAAATTTAAGATAACTCTTTATAACAATTTTTGTATTCAGGGTTCTACGTAATACCTAATAATGTTTTGGTTTAAAATTTAGGTCAGCTTAGGTAATACGACAGCACCTGTGTCCAACTCAAACAAAATACAACAGGTAAAGCTTGCACAAACCTAACTCACCTCATAAAAACTCAATAATAACTACAATTTTCCACCACTACAATCAACTTAAAAGCGCATCGCGTTGCTTGATTGCGTTAAAACAATTTAAACGACTCTCCGTACGCGGGAGGTGCCGCGGTGACACTGAGAGCGACCGTGTTGATATCACTTTATTTGCTCGGAGGGATAGTTATCCGGGGTAGGGCAATGCGAGAGCTATATTTACAAGAGCTTTAGAACTTAATGCAGGTAAGAGTTAAGTTAGTTTTGCTTGCATTTATGTGAAGAAGTGTTAATTACTTGACTGTGTCCAAACTGAATATCATAAAAACATCATAGGAAACTGCGTCAGCCATTTAAGCCTATTACTTACTACTACTACCTACTAAGCTTTCCAGTCCGTGGTATAATATAAACGAAAACTTTTCTTCCCCAAAGGCCGACAGTTCTTCCACAAGCTATGTGCCTCACCCACTGCCACTTAAGTTTGGCAATTCTGCGGATTAACTATGTTGCGATTACTTTAGTTTTCCTACGGATCTCGTTTTCCTCATTTTTGTCTCGATCATTCAAGTTAGTTAAACTCTGTGTCAACCCGTCTGACCACAGCGTGGGGGGAGTGTAGCCCTTTGGTAAACTAGAAAGGGTCGTGCTCCTGCAGTGGAGACTAAATTAATGATCTCATGATTATGATAAGATAAGTTAAGATAAGATAAGATAAGATAAGATAAGAAAAACTTTATTTGACACAAAGAGAAAAAAATAGAACAAAGGAACTTAAAACTATACACGCATATTTTGTGTCAAAAAGGCGCCCGCTCAGCATTTATGATGACTTATTTATGAAAGTTAACTTCGAACTCCTCCTATTTTATTCTGAATAATTTCGTTGCGGGTCCAATGACAGTTTAACTTTCCCCCGGGACAAACTTGACTTTCACTGGTTTGGTTATTGGCGGTCAAGCTGTAGATCCTGACTACACAGGAGTTGCAGCGGTGGTAACGAGAGGTGGGAATAGTTTTAATTAATATTATTTGAAATTTAACTTCAGAGTTTACTTTTCGCTCAGCCATATCTTTTATTAAGCCGCTGTCTTTACAAGCGTAGGATAAGCCCAGTCCCCCGGGGCGCAGCGAGTCCATCTTAATTCGCGCGACAAATAACTAAATTGTGCCCTCAGCTTTATTTTTACATTTACCATTTGTTATTTGTGGCAAATGAAATTGCCGTTTCAGGGGGCGAAGATTTATTGCTTTTGGTGAAATGGGATAAATCGCTGTGCTTTAATGGGAATACCAAGAAGTCTAGTGTATGGAATGTTTTAGCCTCTGTCTTAGGCTGGGTTGCGCCATCTTACTTTGACTTTAACTACGTCCAAATATCTGTCAAACTCCATACAAAAAACACCGGTTATCGTTATAAGTTACGGTCAAAGATAGGTGGTGCAACTCAGCCTTAAGCTTTTGTTGTAGGCATCGTTCCCTCGGCAATCCAATTTCCCACATTTCCTGGATCACACTGGATCCTGCAATCCCGCAAAACTGGTCAATTTTGAACACACTAATGTGGACATACTAAACTAAAGTATATATTGGCTATGGCAGAATAACAGGGTTTGTGGGTCTTGTTTTTGTCTACTGTAAATGAAACCTGTTTTGAGACAAATAAATACTTGCTATTCTATTCTAAAGGTAATGTGAGTTTGAAATTCAGATTACCTACAAATTCGATTCATTATGGGACTATAAACGCGATGCACATAATATGTGAACTTTATAAACACGCTTACCCTACTAAATAGAATCCTGTAAAAAACAGTTCCTGCAAGAAACGGGATGTCTCCGTGTGGGTACAAGCCCAATAATAAGATTTTTAGTGAGAATGCTGAGAAGTTCAGGGTTTGGAATATTGACGTTGATTGAGATTGACTTCTGTGCTCTAATACTAAGTAATTCCTCATTTCCTCCCACGCAAAGATCCCAGATTCGATTCCCAATGGGACTAACTAAGTACATTTTCTGCTTGGTTTGCAAGTAGGTTGATCTAAGTCCACTCACCTACTTACGCCATCAGTATTCACAAACATTACTATGAGGTCTCACAGTGCGCGTGAACGCACAGGGTGACATACGATCCAATCACAGAGCTCTATTCAATGCTGTGCGTTTCATTTGCTGCTTCGTTTGTGAATACTGGCGTTACCTAGACCACCATCTTTCTTAAGTTTGTCGCCCTAACAAATAAGTTAAAAGCATTGTTTTGTTTCGGCAATTTAATCCAGGGGAGATAGCCAGATTCTTTGTGGTTGAGGATTCCGGGGGAGTTTGCTTTCATTTTTGGCCTGATAAACGTAAAAGCGCTTTTTAAAAGCCTACTTTGTTCGTTTCAGCCTAATAATGACGTCCACTGCTGGACGAAGGCCTCCCCCAAGGCTTTCCATAACAACGGGTCCTGCGCTGCCTGCATCCAGGTTCTTCCGCAAACTTCATTAGATCGTCGGTCCACCTAGTAGGAGGCGTGCCCACGCTTCGTCTTTCGGCCCGTGGTTGCCATTCGAGAAATTTTCTGCCCTAACGGCCATCGTCTCTACGAGTTAATTTTCATCACTTCAGACAGGAATGTAAGATGCAGGCAAAAAGCTCCCATTTTCGGCTATACAATCTAATAATATGTCTTACAAACATTGCTTTATTTCTGCAGCCGGGTAAAAAGTGAATAACATTGAGTTCAAAAATTAGTGTCCGACCGAAACTAGTTTTACGACCGAAACCGAAACCGAAAACGAATTTCGGCAACGGTGTCTATTTCGGCCGAAACCGAAACCGAAACCGAAACTTACTTACAAGGCTCATTTTGAGGGAAAAATAAAGAAAACGTTATTATAATCAATAATCAGTTAGTCTTTATTGTTTTCTCTTTAAATTGCATTAAAATTGAACTTATAAAGCGCCTTTTTACTCTAAAAGGTATCAAATTATGTATTAAAAATGAAAAAGAAGGATTTATACTTAGTCTACATTTTTTTTAATTACTCGCAATATTCAGGACATATACATAACCCGTCCCATGGTCGGGTCTTTTACCTTTATAATTTCTCAAAACAAAACTGGTAGTACGTAAGTTAGTATAGCTACTGTACTTGCCACTTGGATACCTTGGTGATAAATACTAAAATGGACTTTGAAACTCTGAATCCATAATATTATCACCATGAAATGCACTGTAGTCATTACTAACTAACTACCTAACTAATGTTTGTTTACGTATAGCATTTGCGAACCAAAAAAAATATTATAGGTTAGATTAAACTTTATTATACTTTTATGCACATTCGGTTTCGGTCGTAGTTTCGGCAAGTTTGCCGCCGAAAACGAAACTAAACCGAAACTCGTGTTTTTACCGAAACTCAACCGAAAACGAAACCGAAACCGAACATTCGGTCGGACACTATCAAAAATGTTTTCACAAGGAACGCTCTGTGAATTTTTAATATCTCCATGAGGGAGTATATTAAATTCTTTGCATATACGTGCTGGTATTGCTAGGGAATCTGCATTGCTAAGATCAATTCTGTTACAGATCTACTTATTCTCGGTAGGTATTTAGTAGTTATGAGTAAGTAATAGATATTTTGAGGTGCTTTAGTTTCAATGTCTGTCAAGATCAGCCGATATTGTAAGTATCATTAGATTTATTGACCCGAAGTTTAGGTATCTCCTATCATATCCAACTCAATCTCAATGAGGCACACCTTGTTTGTTTCAGCCAATTAACGTCCACTGCTGGACAAAAGCCTCCCAATTTTTTTAACGATCGGTCCTGCACTGCCTGCAACTAGATACTTCTTAAATCATCAAAATACATTTCTGCTTAGTTTATAATCATAAATATAGATTTTAGATTTTAGTTTAGTTGTTGTAAAAAGTTGTATTTTTACAACAACTGAACTATAATTTCGTGGAAGCTGTATAGTTTTACATTTCATTGCCTATTCGTTCGTTTTTTATCCAGTAACAGTGTCACTGTGACACTGACATTGACAGTTTGTGTTGCTGAATTTTGTTGTTGTGTGTGGTGTACAAAAATAATTTAAATAATTGTTTTACGATGAAATACGAATGAATTTTGTTATAAGATTATTAATATTTAGATAATTAATAATTGTACATCATGAGTAACATATACATTCAAGAACCGCCGGCTCTAGGCAAGGTAAAATTCAGTGAAATCGTTTTGTGAAATTTTTGGTATTTTTCCTTCTAAATATCCATTAAATTTTTGTGAAAGTCATCAGTTACAATGTATTTTTTACACTAAGACTAGATTCAGCTGTATAAAACAACGAGTGACTTGAAATTTTCTTACTTTCATAGATACCATTCTTGATAAGAAATAATTAAAGTACTTACATTATTCGTTCTAGGTTTATGTACGTTTGTACATACGTGTTGGTACATTTAATACAAATAATTAAAATAGCAAAAATTGGTTAATCATTATTTTATAAGTGACTCATCTTGCATGAAGAGATAAAACCCAAGTATTTTATATAAAAGGTGGACCGATGACTATGAAGTCACTACCTGTATGAAAAGGTAGCAGGAAGGCGCTGGATGCAGGCCGCCACCAACCGGCCATTGTGGAAATCATTGGGGGAGCCTTTTTTTCACAGTGGACGTCCTATGGCTGAAAATGATGATGATGATTTTATACACACTGCTGTGATTGCATTTTGAGACTATTATACATTAATAATGTAACTTTATTCTTTAAGGTTCTCCTCAAAACAACCGCTGGAGAAATTGACGTTGAATTATGGACAAAAGAAGCTCCCAAAGCATGCAGGAACTTTATCCAGCTGTGTATGGAAGGATATTATAATGGTAACTTGTACTTCTTTCCTTACTTTACTGCCTTTTATCAATGACTTAACTTATAGCTCGGAGGTGGAATTGTGTAAAGCAATCGTAATCATTTGACAGTTTGACAGAATAATCGTACGTTATGAACTGTCAAATGATAATGATTGCTTTACACAATTCCACCTCAGGTTAGAAAGATAAATTATAAATAATCTCATAACTCATTCAACTTACTTTGTATGACATTTGATTAAAATATACCTTAAAAAGTTAGCCAAATAGCCTGTTTACTTGTTAAATAATAATTGAATAGCACATGCATTAGTAGAGCACAGCATAATTCTATTCTTCTTTTCGTGTCGACAACAAACCTACACAGTATCAGCCCAAAACTTCGCCACAAGATAATTCTATCAATAAGTACACAATTAACTAAATGTCTTTTGCAATAATAATGTGCGTGCTTAGTGCTACCATAATTATTTTTTGTTTTAAAGTCATTTAAAAAATCTTTTTGTTTCACAGGAACAATATTTCACAGAGTAGTGCCAGGGTTTATCGTGCAAGGTGGTGATCCGAATGGAGATGGTACTGGTGGAGAATCCATCTACGGTGCTCCTTTTAAAGTAAGTGTAATAAAACTTAGTAGACAAGATGATGATTGGAGAAATATAATATGTAGTTAAAGGGCAAAGCTGGCATATGTTCAATATTTAAAGAAGTTAAACCTATGTGTTTCAAACATGTATCATTGAGGCTATTTAAAAAAAAAGAGTAGATAAGATGATGATTGGAGAAATATAATATGTAGTTAAAGGGCAAAGCTGGCATAATATGTTCAATATTTAAAGAAGTTAAACCTATGTGTTTCAAACATGCACCATTGAGGCTATTTTTTTTTAAAGATAATTACTATTTTTTTATTACACAAATTACTAATACTCCCGTTAGCCCCTTGTGCTAAGCTAAATATGCTTGTATCACGAGTGAGCTCACCTCAATAGTCGAGCGGCGGCGGGGACCGAACCCGCGTTCCCCGGATCGCGAGTCGGCCAGTCCGACCCCTTCACTGAGAGATCTCACAGTAATGTTTATGAATCCGGGTGTAAATGACTAGATGATTAATGATTGATTACTATGATATTAATCTACCAGGATGAGTTCCACTCGCGTCTCCGTTTCAACCGGCGAGGGTTGGTGGCCATGGCCAACGCTGGGAAGGACGACAACGGCTCGCAGTTCTTCTTCACGCTGGCTGCCACTCCAGAGCTGCAGAACAAGCATACTATATTTGGGAAGGTCACCGGTAAGTAGAAGTAAAGTTATAGTGATTAATTAGAAGTACATAATCACTAATCACAATTCTGTTACACAAAAAATGCTTTAAAAATGCATTTTAATTTGTATTAAATGCGATAATTTAAGACTTGTACTATAGTCTGGTCTGCGAGCACGTAGAATTTTGTCCAATGACCCCAAGCTACCCATCCTTATCGCTCGCGCGTAATTATGTTGCTGTCGCGCTCGCACACTCACTGCGGGCGCCCGTCGCACAGTCGCGACAGCAATATAATTACGCGCGAGCGATAAGGATTGGTAGCTAGGGGTCATTGGACAAAATTCTACGTGCTCACAGACCGGGCTTTAGCTTATGGTTGCATAAAGGTCATAGCAGACTTATCAACTATCGCCCTTCGCGCGCTGTCAACCGCGAGGCGAAGCATTTACGTTACGGTGCGGATAAGTGTGCGTTGCAGTATGGAGTTTCATACAAAGAATATTGACCGCCTCGAGTTGATACGGTTACGATCCCTTTCCGGGTTGATAAGTGTGTCTTTTAATCTCACATTTTGTTTGTGATTATGTATCACTAGCGGGTGCCCGCGTCTTTGTACGCGTGGATCCCGTTTTTCCTCCTTAGGGGTGGAGTTTCGTAAAATCCTTTCTTAGCGGATGCCTACGTCATAACATCTACCTGCATGCCAAATTTCAGCCCTATCCGTTCAGTGGTTTGGGCTGTGCGTTGATAGATCACTGTGTCAGTCAGGCAGTCAGTCACCTTTGAGTTTTATATTTTATGTATCATTAGATTAATAAAATCTAACTTAAAACCGTTAACCACTCATACTTCATCCCATTCACATCACAGGTGAAACAATCTACAACATGCTCAAACTAAGCGAGGGTCTGATAGACCACGACGACAGGCCCGAACACCCTCAGAAGATACTCAGCACTACGGTGGTTATTAACCCGTTCACGGATATAGAGCCGCGGGTGACCGAGAAACGGGTTGACGAGGCCCCTAAGAAAAAGAAGAAGGAACGGCAAGGGGTTAAGTGAGTACTGATTTTTTTTTACTTTTCCCTGCGCGAATATCGGTCATTTTATTTAATTTAATATTAGCCTATTGTTAAAAACTGTCAATAAGTTATTCAATAAAGAATTTATTTATTTATTTATTCACTTACTTAATTGCTTTCCCCTTTCAAAAACTGGAATGAAAACTTAAAATATGTAGTAATTTTTTCTTTACCAAAACGTGGAAGTTATCGTGGCCTACATATCACTGATGGAAAGTGATGATTTGGCCGAAAGTGGAAGCGACACCGTACCGTCACATACGGCTGTACTTTGCGAAAAAACAATAAATATACGGAATTCTTACTCGACGGTCAAGTCAGCTTGTGCACGGCCGGTGCAATCCGATCGAAACGTCAGGCAAAAATAGGTAATATTTATTTATTATTACCTAATCGCGAATCGCGTCTAATACTCGTTGTTAAGTTACAACTTACAAATAATAGAGTTCATTATTACATCTCCCACAGAAACCTGGCTATTATACACCACTAAATTTTTATCACCGAAAAAAATTAAACAGGTTATGTAAAAACGTGTGGAATATTGAAAGCAAAAGAAAAAGAAATGGTTTTCATGAAGTTATTTTTTTTAATTAAATTTTCGTTAATCCGTATTTCACGCGTCACAGCTGGGTCACTCCGCTGCTCGCTAGAGTAGTCGTACGCGCTCGCATATTGCCTCGATCTGTCTGTCTCGCTTACGCCTCGACCACGCTTCCAGTGTTATTATTACATACTTAGCCAACTTAGACCATTTTGAATTCTAATAAGTGTTACATTAGCGTACGTAAATAGTGCTCGCGACGCGTGTGTCAATAAATTACCAATTTTAGGAGGATATTTTGAGTCGCTTTATTTTACTCTTTTTTGCATAAATGGGATCAGTATCAATAACTCATTACCCAGAATTTTTTTTTTCGGTGATTAAAATTTAGTGGTGTATATCATAAGATATCGACCTTAATCTCTAACTAATAGAGCCCACAATCCCACAGGAACTTCGGGCTGCTGTCCTTCGGCGAGGAAGCCGAGGAGGATGAAGGCGAAGCGGTCGAATACCGAGGGAAGCCGAAGTCGACACACGACTTGCTAGACGACCCGAAACTTAGCAAGAAGACTGCTGCCGGTGAGACAAATCCAGCTGTTTTATACCCCATTTTCTGCTAAATTTGGATGCTGGTAAGGATTATTCTGAATCCACCTGGCTAGCTAGTTATAATTATTTACTTATTTATTCTTGAATGTCATCATTTACCATATCGCGAACTCTATGTTATATAAGGCGTTATCTGCCAGTAAACCTTCGGGCTATTATTATCATCAGGGCATTCATTTCACCACTGCACCTATCACCACTGCTGTGTGTTTCTGTCCTTTGTTTCTTGTTGTCAAACAGTTTTTTTATGCAGAACAAGGCAGGTATTTGACCGCAATTACACCTAATGTTGTTAATAAGATCTTTCACTTATAGTATAACTTTTTATTAGAAAGGTCACTTCAAGATATCAGTTCTATAATCAGTGCAGTTACCTATTGGGTCCTTCAAGCCGGATGCGAAACTTATAGCGAGTACTTACTTATTACAACTTTTAGTTTTTATACTGATTGTTTGTAAAAAATAAGAATTTATGAAGCTGTTATAATGTAGTAAATCTTTTTTCTTTTTCAGAGCTAGAATTAGAATTAGAAGAGCAAGTGGACCAACAAAGCACGAGCGCAGAAGATATCGAGAAGAAAGAGAAAACAGCAGCAGCCGTATCAAGTATACGAGACAAATTGAACGCTAAGAAGAGAGATAGAACGCCAGACAAGGAGAGCAATAAAAAGAGGAAAGAAGAGACAAAAGAAGACTCAGAGAGCGAGGGAGACGGAGAATATTATTTGGGGAAAGAAAGAGACATGGAAAGACAGAAAGAAAGGTAAATAATTATCATTATAATTTCAGCCACAGGACGTCCACTGCTGAACATAGGCCTCCCCCAATGATTTTCACATCGACCGGTTGGTAGCGGCCTGCATCCAGCGCCTTCCTGTTACCTTTATGAGTACTACATTTTTAATTACAGGTCAGGAGTCAGTGCCTGAGGTATGAAAGCCGTACATGAGGGGTGACATATGAAGAAACAGCATACAAGCACATTTAAGGTTACACTGACGTTTGATGTCACAAAACACCCTCCCGTGTCGCTCCCATAATGTAGACACTGACTCCGTTACCATATTATTATCTCAGTTATAGACTAGACTTGTAATTGATCATATTAAGTTTCCTTCTTCCAAAAACTGGGATAAAAACAGTCATATTATGTTTTTCCCTGGGTCTCAAACTATCAAATTTTATCTAAATCGATTCAGTAGTTTAAGCATGAAAGAGTAACAAACATCCATTCGTCTTCTAGTCCAGTCAATTAATGCTTTAACGACGGTGTAGAGAGAAATCCCTGGAACACAATTTCTCCCCCCTAATCCCCCCTCTCCCCGCCGGCTTAAGGGCTAAGGGCGGGGGCTATGTTCACCTCCTAACTAGTCTAAATAAAGTCCCGATGTCAAAAATTGTGTTCCACGGTTTTCCATCTATAATGCTTTATTGACTGGACTATTCACAAACTTTCGTATTTATGTAATACTAGCTGTGCCCGCGACTTCGTACGCGTGAAAATAGTTTGAATAATATTTCCCGTTTTTGCAACATTTTTCTTTGCTGCAACGTCCCTATTGGCTGTAGGGTGATGTTATTAGCCTAAAGCCTTTCTCGATTAGTGAGCTATCAAACACAGAAATATTTTTTCAAATCGGACCAGTAGTTCCTGAGATTAGCGCATTTAAACAAACTCTTCAGCTTTATAAAATTAAGTATAGATTAGTATAAAAGATTAATACATTATTCAATATTTCCAGGGATCGAATAAGAAACGAAATAAAACAGCTCAAGAAAGAAATGCGCGCGCCGAAAGAGGACAGCAAGAAAGAGAGCGAGACGGAAGATAGCGATAAAAAGAAGATAGAAGAAGACAACGAGATGTACAAGAAATATGTGGAAGAGCAGGAGAAGTATAAGAAAATGAAAGAGAAAATTCCTAAAAAGGGTGCTGACAGGTAAGTTTTTATTTTATAGTATTTTATTTGGATTAGTTGGTAGATATTTAAATAGGTTTTTGTAAATAATTGATCATAAAAACTCATTGATCTTTCGAATGACCAAATTACATAAATGATCAAGTATTTTTTGTCTGATAAATTAGTTTTAATGACGTAGGACACCTATCAACCTGGAAAGGGATCGTGACCGTAGGTGGAATTGTGTAAAGCAATCGTTATTATTTGACAGTTCATAACGTACGATTATTCTGTCAATCGCTTTGTTTAACTGACTTTATCGTATTCTCGAACTGTCAAATGATTACGATTGCTTTACACGATTCCGCCTCGTATCAACTTTAGGCGGTCAGTATTCTTTGTATGTGGTGTACGGTAAGGTAAACGCTTCGCCTCGCGGTTGACAAGTCGATGACAGCTTGAAAAGGCGATACGCTATTGATCCCGTTCCGAATTGATAAGTCTGCTATGACCTTTAAATCCACGAGGAGATTTGAGTGTCACGACATGTGCAATCAACCTCTGGTTATTATTCTTACACATTTTATATTAAAAATCTACACACATTTAGATTACTATGTACAGGTACGCTATGTTTAGATAAATTACAACAAAAAATCACCCACAAAAACCATTTAGGTTGAGTTGCACCCTCTTACTTTAACGTCAAAAATCTGTCAAACTCCATGCAAAAAGCACTGATTATTGTTACGGTTAAGATAAGGTGGTGCAACTCAGCCTTACATTTCAAAAAACGCATATAAGTTTTTCTTTGTGTTAGTTATGATGAAATTCACTAAGATTGACGATTTCTCGAATTTTATACGTAAAAAAAGTATTTCGAGTTTTTTTGACGTGTTTATGAAAATCATCAGATGTGATTAAAAATGAATTTTGAACTTGAAAAGAATATGTTGTGTTTGTTATGACTTTGAAACGCAGAAGAGTCTATCCAACAAGACTGAAAACGCCTAAAAATAACAGACAAGCACTCATTTCAAGAACAGCAATAAGAATAAAGAAGATTTGTAACTGGACTAATGCAAGAAAACATTTTCAGAAGGCGAAGGTACAAGTTCACGAAAACGCCAAAACGAAAGCCATGGGTGAAGAATTTATACGAAAATCGAGAATATCCCGACAACTACACCGATTCGAAGTTTCTGGAAGACCTGAGGAAAAACCTGTTCGTTCAAAAAGTGACTCTCAGTGAAGCGTTCTACGGTTCCTTTCGGATTGTGTTTAGAATGTGTTTGTGTGTGCTATACGCTGTGCTATTCGTGTACATGTACAACGATTACGTTAATACCAATACCGTTATTTACGCCGGAATAACGGTAACGGTATTCTGTTATTTATTGTACGTCGTTTTTGAAGGAAGCGACCAGTTAAGGCATGTGAGAACTGTGCTAGTTTATTTAGTTTTAGGTTATTTACTGTCACCTATAGTACATACTTTGACAGATACTGTCAGCACAGATACGATATACGCTTGGGCTGTCATAATGATGTTGGTGCATTTGATATTTTTTGACTACGAAGTAAAAGTAGCATTAGTGTCTAAATCTTTATCTATAAACGCGGCCATTTTTGCATCTGTTTGTCTAGTATCTAGACTGGCAACACCGTTCGATGCGTTCATTTTGCTGACCGTATCTGTCATCTTTTTCGTTCTAAGCCCGCAGCTTTTCAAAGTGCTGCTATACACAAGATTGTTTACATTCATTTATTTTATAACGTTATTAATAACGTTGGCGAGTCTGTACACTGTATCGGTAACGTTACTGTGTTATTTCGTTATTTTGGTGGGCATTGTGAACGTGTATTGCCCGGTTATGTTTGTGAGATGGCAGAAATATAAAGCCAATATTTATGGGCCGTGGGACGAAGCGGTAATAAATGATAGCGATGATTTAGATGAATGCTTGCAAAATATATGAAGTGTCTTAGAAATTAGAGGTCCAGCGCTTAAATCAAGTCTGTATCTGAGGTATGGAAGCGGCACGGGAGCGACCATTTTTAAAATGAAATAGTTTATTTAGTACATAGGCCCGGGCAGGGTACTTTGACATAATATTATGACGTGACAGAGCATACAAATATGAAGTCTTGCTGACATTTGACGTCACAAAAACACGCAGGAGTCAACTCAGTTCTGTGGTATGCTTATAAAAGAAAAGTACAAAATGTAGGTAGTGTTGTGGTTAATTTATAATTATTTAATGCAGTTATAGCTCTTGTAATTCCGAAGGCGAGTGAGCTTAACTTGTGTGTGTACGTGTACATGCACATAACGATAGTGTAATGTCTATCAAAACTTATGAAAAACGAACAGTAGCGAGCCACCAAACATGTAAAGCTCACTCGCCTTCGAGAATTGCAACAACTATAAATCCATTAGCAATTATTTACAGTTAAAGCCCGGTCTGTGAGCACGAAGAATTTTGTCCATCCTTATCGCTCGCGCGTAATTATATTGCTGTCGCAACTGTGCGACGGGCGCCCGCAGTGAGTGTGCGAGCGTGACAGCAACATAATTACGCGCGAGCAATAAGGATGGGTAGCTTGGGGTCATTGGACAAAATTCTACGTGCTCACAGACCAGACTATAATCAAATGTTTTATTTATTTAATTTCGCGTACTTTAAAGTAAATTAATGCATGTATTGTTTGCTTTTTGACTTTGACTTTAAATCATAAGAAGTCTAGAAAAACATTCTAGTCTAGTTCCAATTAATCTTCTAAGGGCGTTTTTCACATCAAAAATGTATTGTCGCCTGTATAATCTTTTGTAGGCGAGATTGACTCGCACTTGACTGTTTAATTATATTGTTGATTTGTTATTTAATGTTATATCCCGGTCTGTGAGCACGTAGAATTTTGTCCAATGACCCCAAGCTACCCATCCTTATCGCTCGCGCGTAATTATATTGCTGTCGCGACTGTGCGACGGGCAAAATTCTACGTGCTCACAGACCAGACTTTAGATCACTGCCATTTTTGATATTTTAAATTATTTGGGCTCAATAATTTTATTTTGTTTATAAATAAATGCTTATCTTTTAATTTGTCTTTTAGTGTGGTATGTTCCTTTTTCCTCTAGTAAATTAGTGAATGTATAAATTATGATGATCACACGAATATTTGCCTATGGTGGGAATCGAACCAAATCATTTACACTTTTTCTGTAGGTTAAATCACTACTAAAAAATGGCAAAATTTTTAGAAAAGCAATTTTCTTTTCGAATTTAGGTAGATAATTTAAGTTACAAATATTTGTAATCTAGTGACGTCACATTACACGCTAAAACGAGTGCGTTGTGTGACGTCATGCTCAGCTAAATCCAAAACATCTCTTTTGGAGTAGTGTAATTTAAAATTTCTATCAGTATTCTGTACAAATATGTATTTTTTACAGAGAAAACTTCACCCTACAACTGCTGGCGAAATTCAAGAACAAATTACACGCCATCAAAGAGAAGGCAGCCACGGAGGGCGAGAAAGAAGAGCCTAAGGATGACGAGGACATAAATACTGATGACTGGTGAGTATCCACAGTAATCATCAGGTCATTTAGTTTTTTTTTATGTGACAGGAGGCAACGAGCAGACGGATCACCTGATGGTAAGTGATTACCGTCGCCCATAGACACCCGCAGACCCAGGGGCGTTACAGGTGCGTTGCCGGCCTTTAAGGTGAAGATACGCTCTCCTCAAAGCTTGCAGGTCGTATCCGTAGTCTCCATTGAAGGAGCACGACCCTCTAAGTTACCAGAGGCATTGGATTTGGCCTACACTCCTACAGAGGGGGTGTGGAGACCCGGCCTATTGCAGGACAGACTTCCTCCAATACTGGCCAGTTTGCCCTGTCTTCAGCTTGTCACTTCCAGCCTTTGCCCGCGACCTTTCGCAAGTCGTCATTCTATTTAGCTAATGGCGTCCTACACTACGCTTGCTGACCCACTCAATAATTAATGTGCCCCAGAGGTTATCATTTTTAAAAGATAGAATTTCATACCTTACTAGCGGCCGCCCGCGACTTCGTACGCGTGGATCCCGTTTTACCCCCTTTTCCCGAATTTTCTTTGCTATAAACCTCACGGAGCCCGAGACCTTTCCAACGAATGCAAAACCGTGGAAATCGGTTCGTGCGTTCTGGAGTTATAGCGTCAGGGAGGAAAACCCGACTTATTTTTATATAGTAGATAAGCCAATAATTTAATAGCACTATGTAGGTACTTGCAAAGAGAACACTCAACCTTAAAGAGAGTACCTTAAAGAGAATTAAATATGCAAGTAATAAGTAACGTCATAGCTTGTCTTGACCGCATAATATCTATGGGAGAGCTGCAGTTTGACTTCTCGTTAAAGTAGGTCAACTTCCTTAGGGACAAACAGCTCTTATGACTAAGTCCGACTTGGCTGTCGCGTACTTGGCCGTTTTTTTAATTTACTTTTTGTCTACAGGCTTGGCCACACCTTAAAGTTCGAAGACAAAGGCGCGGTTCTGGCTAAGGACGCGTCCACCAAAGGCGACGACTGGTTCGACATCTACGACCCAAGGAATCCTCTCAACAAGCGGAAGAGGGAGAAGAACGATAAACCTACTAATAAGAATAAATAACTAATGCTGTAGTTGAGGAGAGTTTTATTGAAAGCACAATTGCTACTTTTAGCATCGGTCACCGGCGATTTTTTTTATGCATAACAAGCAGCGTAGCCAGACGTCCCGATTTTGGCGGGACGTCCCGATTTTTAAATCAAATTTTAATGTCCCGCGCGGGACAGGCTCGGTCCCGCTTTTGGGAGAGAGACACTCACTACACTAGACTGTTGTTTGAAACGCCATACTTATTATTCTAAAGAATAAAACATTTTTTTTTAATTTCGATTTTTGTTTTTTTTTTCTTTTTTATTCAAAAGACGAATTTAACGATAGAGTAAATCTGATTTACAATATATTTTTTTGTTAAAATACATTTTCTATGGCTACTTTTGCTATCTATTGTCACGTAAACGCAATTTTAAGTCCAATAAAATGATAAATATTTGAAAACCTTTGATTTTATACGTTTTTTTACTATGTCCCGCTTCAGACGGAAGAATCCCGCTATTTTCACTCAAAAAGTACCAAAGTCCCGACTTGGCGAAAAAAAAACTGGCAACGCTGATAACAAGGCAGGTATTTGACCACAATCCAGTCTAGGATGATACATTATCTGCCCTGTAAGTGCCTATTCACTCTCGCCTTGAAAAGACCCGGATTATAGTCTTCGGGAAAGACAGCAGCAGGCAGCGAATTCCAGTCCCTAGCTGTTCGCATTATAAAAGAGTCATCGAAACGCTTAGTGCGAGCTGGTGGAATGTTATCAATTATAGGGATGGTAGGCGACCAGACTTAATTAAATACATTGATCGCCATCGCTGCACGCCGGCTGATCGCGTGTGATCGCGTTGGTTTGGCCGAACCTTAATATGAAAGTGATCTTAAAAATGTCAAATGTCAGTGACAGTAAGTAGTCGCGATTCCCATACCGCGTCCGAAGGGAATGTCATTCCTTCCTAAGATAGTAAAAGGCTTCATTGTGTGATTGTCAACAATCCTCGTTGTGTATAAAAAAAGGCATTACCAGAGGTAAATGGAATGGTTTGAAGATGCTCAAAATCAAATAACTTATCTAACGAGAATATCAGTGTTTTAGCACTGTTTTTCCTCAACTTCGCCCAAATGCAGCAATTATCCGCCATAATAATAATGTTACGTAATTACCATCTCTAATTACTCTAATAAAACTCTCATTATGTTTTAAACTAACTGTTTTATACGTACCATGGTATCTCATGATTTGACGTTCGACTTGTCTAAAGCCTGGTCCGTGAGCACGTAGAATTTTGTCCAATGACCCCAAGCTACCCATCCTTATTGAGGTCGCTTGCTACCTTTATGAGGTCGTGTCACACGCTGCGTTTTCCGCTTCGTGGCCTCCGCTCCAGAACCTTGCTGCCCCATCGGCCGTCAGTTCTGCGTACTATGTGCCCTGCCCATTGCCACTTCAGCTTGCTAATCCGTCGGGCTATGTCAGCGACTTTAGTTCGTTTACGGATGTCCTCATATTTTCTGTTATTTTTGGTTATTAAGAAATTGGTTAATGGAGTCTAAAACCAATTTATTCTTACAATGGAATAAACAATCATGGACCCGGTAGTTTTCATGGTAGGCGCTCAAATGACTGGTCAGTGACCTCTCAAGTGTACAACACCTTCTTGTAGTTTGTTGTTTTATCTTTCATCTCTGCCGGTCAAATTTCATGGGTCAGATTGTCTGCTTCTGTAGCCTTTGGATTGATAGTGATGTGGTACTAAGTACTATCGATAAATCTAAGACAGAATCACCGAACCACAGCTATCATGGCTATGTCCAGAATTTTATAATCACTTTTTTGGTCTTGTCTCGGACTCATGAGGTCTCAGGTTCGATTCCCAATGGGGAAAAACTTTAGATGAACTAGATCTTATGGTTCTCTTCGGCCCATTGAATTTTTTTGTGTCATACTCTCCCGACTTCCATTCTAAGCTGCACAGAGTATTCGGTGTTGAAAGAGTCGGCCATTTTTGCTATCAAGATTGCTAAAGTAAGTAGGTAGAAGAGAATGCCATAATATTATTACCTATGGTATTAGCTTCCCTTTTTGCACATTGAAATGTTGTGTGTACCTAATAAAGTTTAAAATAAACAAAGTCTATTGGCACGGCGCAACAAAGTCACCTACTATGCTAGATTTAAGATGTGGAAGTTATTGCGACTGAAAACAAGCATGAAACACACGTCCATAACACAACAATTTTCTTTTGTTTTTCCTCGTTTCAACATCATCATCATGTCAGCCATAGGACGTCCACTGCTGAACATAGGCCTCCCCTCATGCTTTCCACGTTGATCGATTGGTAGCGACCTGCGTCCAGCGCTTCCCTGCTACCTTTTCGATGTCGTCGGTCCACCTTGTAGGTGGACGTCTCAAGCTGCGCCTTCCGGTACGCGGCCTCCATTCCAGAACCTTGCTGCCCCATCGGCCGTCAGTTCTGCGTACTATGTGCCCTGCCCATTGCCACTTCAGCTTGCTAATCCGTCGGGTTTCCTCGTTTATCGATACGTATTCTGCCCATCACTACACCAAATTTGCACACATTATTAAATTAATAATAAATTTCGCGGCGTGTCCGTCTGCTGATGGTGCGATAACGCGGGTAATTATCTCATTCATTGCGATTCTCTTTGTTTTGCTTTGGGGAAAGAATTGGGAGGACATGACGGTAGTTGGCTTCCTGAAACTAATAGTAACAGCTATGGAGTTATTGGATTTTTTTTTAAACATTATTAGTATGTTATTTCACAAATTACTAATACTCCCGTTACTAAGCTAAGTAAATATGCTTGTGCCACGAGTGAGCTCACCACAATAGTCGAGCGGCGGCGGGGACCGAACCCGCGTTCCCTGGATCACGAGTCGGCTAGTATAACCCCTGCACCGTTCGGTTACCGTGGCTTCAAAATTATAAACTCATGACCATTGAAGACAAATCTTGAATTCTTGATTGCAGAAGAGATTCTTGAGATTATAGCAGTAGGACTGAGATTCTTGCGCTGCTTGTTGCAATTGGAGGTAAGTTATCCAGTTCCTCTGTGGTTGAGATATCCTCGTGAATCACCTTCGGCTTGATCATCACTTTCCACCATCCTCTTCCTTTCCCAGTTGTGGCAAAAAAAACTTTGGTATATTTTTGATACCTTGATATCCCTTGGCGTAGAAGGGAATCTCCAGAAATCAGAATCTTAGGCTACTTAAGGCTGTTGTAGGTAGGGAATCTCACAGTTCCCTCCAACTTATGGCGAGAAACGGAGCATCGGTCTTTTAAGTGGTTACACCTCGTTCTGACTTGGTAAGCCCCACATAACCTAACCTATCCCGCAGGGTAAGTATGAAATTATATGCATTTTTTCCTGTTAAAAAAATATCCTTGGTTATTGTTTTAGAGATGATGCATGTCGCCTTTCGCTTGTTGCGTCTAGTCAAAGTGCAAAAGTCATCTATATCTATACTATAATATTATAAATGCGAAAGTAACTCTATCTGTCCGTCTGTCTCTCTTTCACGCCAAAACCACTGAACCGATTTTGATGACATTTGGCATAGAGATAGTTTGAGTCCCGGGAAAGGACATAGGATAGTTTTTATCCCGGTTTTTGAAACAGGAACGCGCGTGATAAAGTTTTTCTGTGAAAAACAAAATTCCACGCGGGCGAAGCCGCGGGCGGAAAGCTAGTAGATTATATTCCCATATTCTGAGGCAAAGATTTCTTCAAGTTTTTAAAACTGATATGTGTAGGTACTTATCTCCTTATTTCCAACGCAGCTAATTCTTTGTCCATCGTTCGTTAACCCTAACCAGCAACAGTTTTCAAAATCGTGAGAGATAACTGGAATTTTGGGTTTTGTTACAATCTAGACTTAATTGTTAGTCTGTGTCGAAAGTAAATAGCTAAAGTAATTGTCTAATTGTGACATGCAATTAATAAAGATGCCACCATTATAATTTGGAAAATTATTTTCATTTTTTATGGGATTTTTCCCGCGGTTTAGTAAGTTTGATCTTCGTAGAGATTGGGAGAGGAACGATGACGAAGGTTCTAAATTCGATTACCAAGAGAGTCAAGTTTCATCATCATCATCATTTCAGCCACAGGACGTCCACTGAACATAGGCCTCCCTTAATAATGAATTCCACGTCGCCCGGTTGGTAGCGGCCTGCATCTAGCCCCTTCCCGCTACCTTTATCAGGTCGTCGGTCCACCTTATTCGCTAAATACACAGATAAGTCAAACGGGTTACATATTAACCAACTCATTACATTTATGTATTTCAAAGCAACAAAGTTTTCTTTATAGTTTTCATGACTAATCAGTCTTATCTTTGAAAATTAATTGGTTTTGCTTTTAAGATTTCTGTCCTCGTTTTTAATTTCTTCTTCTTAGGGTCTTTTCCTACGTCCATCCAGTTTTGCGGGATCCGGTAAAGTAATATCCCGTAAACCTGGACTGTCGTGTGAACAAGTGCGTGTCTGAGAACGTATCGTGTTTTTTGCGTTACACTGCAAACAGGTTGTCGTTCAAACCTACCTAAACGGAATCCTGCAAAAAAAAGATATCTCTGTACACTTCTTTCCCGCTTTGATATCATCGGTCCATCGAGCTGGTTCCCTTACGTAGTTAATCTACAAAATAAAATAATACATTTTAATTCTGTGGGCTAAAATTCCAACTAAACCGAACAAAGAAAAATTGGCTTTATTTTCTGTTAAGCCTTCCTAATTTTCGGCAAAAAACTAAACCCCAATGTAACGTATAATCACAAGATCTATATCTTTGGTTTCCAATAAAAAACCACGAGGTGCTGGGGTCTACAAACTGGCAAGATCTTGAATTATAATGCTAACTATCTTATGAACGTTTTGACAGGACCACTGCGAGTGTAGAGTTAGGGAAATATTGCCTAGCTTCTGCCAACGGATTTTGGTTCTTCATGGTTTTATTTTTTTGCGTGGAACTAATAATTATTTACCTAAGTAAAAAAAAAGTTACTTTTATTCCAACACACATATTGTACTTAAAGCTCCGAATAGGTGCCTACCTAAAAAGACGAAAAGCTGATATTTTTAGGTATAGGTAAGGCACTTTCTTAATTATTACATTTTCCTTCATCATTACGTGATTTTCCATCTGAAGAAAAAAAAATATTTTCCACATTATAATATTCCGTATTAAATGCATGTTGCATAGTTTCAGTTTCATTTTCACTCCGCTAGACGATCTACAATGCGCAAAACGGAAACTAAGGATGAAGATGAAGATTTAGACAATTATTGCATACTTAAATCTGTATCCTACACGATAAAAAGATTCCCAAGCCCAAAACCACAGTGGTCATCGTGAAATCATAGCGAGCAACCTTATAATCACCGGCCTACCGCGAAAACAATCGTTGCGGAAACAAAAAATAATGTTCCGATTCAGTTCACATACTTCTTATTCACACAGAATGACGTCATGAATGTGAACAATATCGATTATGGCAAGAAAATCTATTGCCAACCTTTTTTGGAAATTATAAAAAACAGCCAAGAGCCACCAACAAGGTCCGACGACCTGATAAAAGGGAAGGCGCTGGATGCAGGCTGCTACCAACCGTGCGATGTGGAAATCATTGGGGGAGGCCTATGCTCAGCAGTGGACGTCCTGTGGCTGAAAAGATGATGATGAGTCAAGAGAGACTGTCTTTCCCGAACGCTATATTCCAGGCTTTTTCAAGGCGAGAGTGAATAGGCACTTACAGGGCAGAAATATCTGCACCATCCTAAACTGCATCTCACTTAACTTCAGGTACGATTGCGGTCAAAGACCTATCTAGTTTCCAAAAAAGTGTGGAAGTGAGGGTGTCGTATTTATTTATCGTAACTTCCTTCAGACCCAGAGGTCCTGGGTTCCATTCTCAGTGAGGAGAAATTTCTGCTCGGTTTGGCTAACTACCACCATCTTACCTAAGTCTGTCGCCAAGCATTGTTGTTATTCAAGTTTCGACAGTTGGAGGTAAGATAGCCAGTTCCTCTGTGGTTTAGAATTCTGGACAAAGCTCGCTTCCACCATTGGCCTGATCATCACTGTCCATCAGAAGTGATGCAGTTTCTTTCCAAGAGTTATATTAGTTTATAGAGACTCCCTGTAGTTAGGTATAACATAAAACCTATCTAGTCCGTAAATGCATAGGTACTCTTAAAAACATGACCATCTCTCCAGCAGTCGGCTAAAACTAACTACATAATCGGGCAAATTACAGCGTTATTCGATCCGTTAACTCGTCGCTATCTTTTGTAACATGCCAAAACAAAGTAACAACGATTTACCAACTTAAGTTCACATGCGACTCAAAGGAACGTCTGTCCATCGAACCGTATCCACGAGACCCACCCAGCAAAGATTTGCGCCATATTAACAGCAAATAGCATACTGCGAAGACGCCATTTGCGAATTTAAAGAAAAGTTTGCATTGTCCGCGTGGGACTTTTGGCGGGAACCGCGCTGTCAATCTGACAGTTCTTTTATTTTTAAACGCGCGAGCGTTGAAACCTCTTTGGTCTTTTCAAAAACTCATTGCACTAAACTTTTTGGTCATAATTTAGTAAAAAGGATTTATGTTACAAAAATGGTTTCTTCCAGTGAGTTTTGTTAGAAATTAAAATGAAAGTGCCATGCTAGTTAGATTGTTAGCTAAAATGTTGTGTGTACTAGTCCTGTGCCCGGCTTTGCTCGTCGCCGTGCAGACGTTGACCATCGATTCGCAGCTGGGTACCTCTGTTGAAGGTAAGTTTATACCTACATATCTAAAATCCTATTTACTCTATGTATTTTACTATGATGGGAAAGTTTGAGAGGGTGAATGTTACTCTGTCACGCAAAAATAACGGATTTTGATGAAACTTTACAGAATTTTTGGTTTAAATCAGAACGTCAAATACCTAGTCTATAATTTCTAACGATTTGCGACAAACTAAATTTCGAGTGGGCGAACCCTTGGGCAAAAAAGTGAGGATAAATTAACTTTCTTTTATAACATCGTTCGTTCGTTCGTTTTAGCCAAATGAGGATCANTATCCATCTAGGTTTTATTAATCTAAGCGCAGAGGAATGTAATAAATCTCACCCTGACAAAGGGGAAAATTATATAGATAAGGATTGACAGAACACTTGCCCTGAGTGTTCCTTTCCTTGTTATTATATTTTGAATTTACTCTAGCGTAAATGTTTTACGCCCATCACAAACGATGCTTGCTTAAGTTAAGCAGCAAATCGAACGCACAGCGTTTAATAAAGAGCTCAGTAATTTGTTCATGAGTCACCCTGTGTACGTCCACTCGCACTGTGAGACCTCATAGTAATGTTTGTGAATACGGGCGGGAAAAATCCCGTGTTGTAAATGTACTGAGAAAAACGCGCAGTGCCTTGTTGTTACATTTTCTAGGAAATTCTACCAAAGTTTAGGTAACCCTCAGTAGTAGTTAATTAATTCTAAACTCTGCTTTTGAAATAAAGTTCACAACTAACTAATTATAAACGTCAACTTAATTCCTGGAACATACACTCGAGTCTTTCAGCGACTTGGCCCACTTTTAGCTGTCCACGGGCCAAGTCACCGGATTGAAATTTCAAATATTTTTACCTTCAATGCTATCCTACTAATATTATAAATGCGAAATTTTGTGTGGATGTCTGGATGTTTGTTACTCCTTCATGCAAAACCTACCGAACGGTTTTTGATAAAACTTCACAATATTATTGTATATAGCCCAGAATAACATATAGACTACTAGCTTTCCGCCCGCGGCTTCGCCCGCGTGGAATTTTGTCTGTCACAGAAAAACTTTATCGCGCGCGTCCCTGTTTCAAAAACCGGGATAAAAACTATCCTATGTTCTTTCCCGGGACTCAAACTATCTCTATGCCAAATTTCATCAAAATCGGTTGCGAGGTTTAAGCGGGAAAGCGTAACAGACAGACAGACAGACAGACAGACAGACAGACAGACAGACAGACAGACAGACAGACAGAGTTACTTTCGCATTTATAATATTAGTTGGGATAATTTATGACGATCTGTGACAAACTGAATATCACGCGGGTGAAGCCGCGGGCCAAAGCTAGTTAATAATAAATTAAACACCAAATAAACAAAAATCTGTTCTAGATCTTAAAGTGGGCCCAGTTGCCGGAAGAAAAGTATTAAAATTTCAATCCAGCGACTTGGCCCGTGGATCAAGTTTAAAAGTGGGCCAAGTCACTGGAAGACTCATACATCTTGTAACCAACTATACGACCTATATTACCTATAGCATACACAGGAAATACATAACTCAATCCTGCTTAAAATGTATGAATATTTGGGTTTACAACGCAAAGCTTGTCTTCACTGATTGACATGCCCAACCAAAATATTTAGGGCACCGTTACGAAATTGTTAGCATAGGTTAATGTATCCTCAGGGAAATTTCTGTGGTTTGGAAAGTCGGAAGCCCGCATTTCGTAATTTCATGATAACTACCCACAAATTAGCCTCAAAAGTTATAACTGGCCGTCTTATGAGAATTCCTGTAGTTAAAGTTACAAACCAATTAAGGTTATTATGGCTTGGCTAGTTTACACGAAAACTAAACTCAGTATTTTGCGCTTTAGAACTACACGAGATATGGGAATGATTCCAAGAAGTAAGCGTAAGGGTCAGGGTAACATCGCAAATAAAAATTTAATTCATGTATTAATTTCAATGACCATTAATATACAGTAAAGAGTAGGCCTTTCAAACTTCAGATCTATTTAGTAGAACTAAAATAAGTTATTATGAAAAATTTATTCAGGGCACTTAGTAGCCCTACCACCACTTCAAGAGAAGCAGTTGTCTGCAGTTACTACCTTGGTTGCACCTTACTTTAACTTTGACAAACGTAAAAAATCTGTCAAACTCTATGCAAAAAGCACCGGTTATCGTTATAGTTACGGTCAACGTTAGGTGGTACCTACAGCAACTCAGCCTAAGAATTATTATTGACAGACGAAACTCTTTTATTTAATATCCTATAGTTATTAATGTATGATCATCAGTACAACATAAAAGTACAACAAAATTACGGAAGATATGGAAATGTAAAGTTTCCCAACGAAAAGTCATTGCAACCGTCAGATAATTATGTTAACAGCTTAACAAGTTTGTTCCCATTACTGAAATCATTGTCAGTGATATCAGTAATTGCTTGCTCGGTCCCGTCATGATGTCACTGGTGTCATTGATGACCCGCAATGATTTTATCAATTTGCGATCGGCGAGCTTTAATCGCCATTCAGTTTGTATGGGACAGGTTGTTGTTGATGGAAAATATATGGAAGCTTTAAAACGTGTTAATGCGAGAATTCGCACGAATTTAAATTCGCTTTTGCTTTTGTACCTAGATTGTAAAAATATATTTTAAAATGTGGGTTCCCTGAATTAAAAAATAATAAAAAATCTTTTCAAAATCATTGATTCCTCTTTTCAGCATCAGTTCTACTACTGTGGTTCTACCACTCTCGAAAAAAAACTCATAGATTACCTTAATATGAAAATCTTTTTTGAATATTTTGAGTCCTATACATTGTACACTTTACACACCATGTCGGCTTTATTTCAAAAGAATCATGTCGACGACAACATGTCAAAAGTCGACGACTCGTGTAAAATTGAAAAGATGAACAGAGTGAAGGACAAAATATTGACCTTTTAGTTTATTATATCTTTTAGTTTATTTAGTATCGCTCTTCTTCTTTTAATTAAATAAGTAGAAAACCCTTTAAAATAAATAGTACTTAATTAAAGAGACTCATTTACTCTAAAAATAGTTAGTCCATTTCTATTCCAATGTCGAAAAGTTCGTAATTACATTACAGGTTTAGTACAATTTTATAAAGACAGTATTACAAAGAACTGTGGTTTTCTGAATAAAGAAAAAAATAAATTTTAAGGTTACAAAGCTTACATACATTACACAAAAACTTTCCATACTAGCTTCTGCCCACAGTTTTACCTGAGTGCATTTGGAATTTTACGGTTTTCCAAATTTAAAGTTTCCGAATTAGTTCGGCTGTTTTCGAGGTAAGCAATATTAGCAACACATTTAGCGACAAATTTTTATATTTCACTCCTAGTATTGCACGTCATCATAATCATATTATAATATTTTGGTCTACATCGAGGAGCACAAAATCTTGGATTTGCCCTACTCTCCTCACGCTGACCAGACGGGTTAGGAAGGTTTGATTTGGCACATAATTTGTTTTGTGTCGTTTCCTATAAGACATTTACGAGGAATGTGGTGGTTATATTACCTATGCTCTACCAAAATTACACTGCACACAAAAATACAAAATAGAACTTAATTCCTTAAACTTTACAACATAATATTGCTTGAAAGTAATGCACCTTTAATTTTTAATCTCAAAATACTGATCGAAAACACGACACCCGAAGCGTCAAGCGGCCTATTAAGGGCACCCAGTTCCAAACTCAGCCCCCCGAAAATCGAGTCGTTTTATTTACTTCGGGCGATAATCGCCCACCTCCAACGCCATGGATACAGCAAAGGTAAACACGGTAGGCTTTGGCTTTGATCAGTGAAAAGACTTCACTAAAAATAGGTTTAAGCCTGTGGTTAGTTGGATTTCAATATTGACACCTTTATCTGTAATTCTTTTTGTGTTGTGTTTTATTATTGTCAGAGAAAGGTTAGGTTAGGTTAGGAATTACAAAAATAAGAAAATTGCGCTGAAAATAAATTGACCATATTATTAACTCTTCTTAAGACAGGAAAACGTGACAACCTCTGTCAGGACAGCCAGTTTAGATAATATATTTTTGGATTCAAATAGACTGCTAAGTATCTAACAATCGACTTAAACAGAAATTGCACCGCATTAGTAATTTCAATATTATCTACTACACATATAGATCTAGCCTTGGTCACTGGAAGCACCTGGATGCGAGCAGTGCAGAACCGGTGTTGCGGAAATCATTGGGCGAGGCCTTTGTCCAGCTGTGGACGTGTTTTGGTGATAACGAATGACTAGCAAGATACATAGTTTGCAATCACATGTTAACTCAAAGTACTAGAGATACAGGAATATTGATTTCCAGCTGCAACAAAACAAACAAACGCTGCTGCACCAATGCTGTCTGAAAATGACTATTCGCGTGTCACTGCAGAAAAATCCAATCCAATTTTAGTGACGCCAAATTATTCATGTACGGATGGATGACAGATCACCAATCTGAACACTGCAGTAGTAGTACAACTGTAGGATGTAAAGGTGCTATTTGTTACCAAAAATTCTGATGGTTCGAGGAAGGAATCTTTGACGTTCATAATATTAGTTTATGTTTCTAAACTTTGGAAACTAGATGGCGCTGTCTTGAGTTAGCGCGCGGTGGCGAAGTATTTATTCGTTTTATAAGCAGTTTATTCTCTGACTGGTCATATTATCCTAGCGCGGGTAGTGCTGATGTATATTATCAATCGTGTAATTCTTCACGCAATTTTACAATTGATTTTTACTTTATTTAACGTTTAAAACTCGATTAAACGGCTACTAAACTAGGGACTGGACTTCACTGTCTGCTGCTGTCTTTCCTGAGCAATAATCTGGGTCTTTTCAAGGAGAGAGTGAATTGTAATTTTGTACTTACAGGGCAGATATGTTCCATATTAGACTGCATCTCGCTTAACACCAGGTGCGTGCCTTGTCATGCATAAAAAAATCTTTTCAATCGAGTATTGCGTTTT